AATAATAATAATAATGGATTGCATTTATATAGCGCTTTTGGGGCCCTCAAAGCGCTTTACAATTCCACTATTCATTCATTGTGACAGGAATCTTCTACCTACCTGAAAATGACTTCATATCAATGTAATAGAGATGCTTCAAGTGTTTGACAGAATATAGGTCAACAAGTCATTTGCTTTTGGCAAATACCTGAAATCACTTTTTGGCACTACACAGGAATCAGATTTTTCAGCATTCTCAGCCTCCCATATGGCTGACTTCAAGCTGGTCTGTTGAAGTCAGCTACATGCTGACATGCAATTAGTGGTAAAATGAGTAAAAAAGTCTGTCAAATTAAACCACTGGAGGAGCGCCACAAAAACATTTGCAACAACAAACCTAATCAAACCAAACCTAATCAAATTGCGCTCACCCAGCTGAACATAGTCATTTTAAAGAAGCTAACAAAGTGGCTAAACATAAAGTTATCTAGCGCTCAGAGCTGGCTGCAAGCCAGCAGCCTCACTATGAGCAATAAAAGAATCAAAGCATCATCAGGAAAATTATGGAGACGAGTAATCTTTCATATTTAGTTTTATTATGAAGACAATATTTTGCATTCAAGAAAATGTGATTTTTATTTGCATGTGCTGAAAATTGGAATCTGATACATTTCTACTGTTCATAGCAAACAACAACATAAGCCAGACCTATTTCACAGTAGGTAAACACATGTAACTAATCACCGTCTATTCTAGAAAATAAACTATCATTAATATCAAGTCAGGTCAGCGTATTTCTATAGCACATTTTAATACAACAGAAGTTGACCTAAAGGGCTTTATGGGCACATTCATTTGCAATCCAGGTCTCAAAAACCCAATTGCAAACATAGGACTTACATAATCATGCAACATAATAAAATTATTAAAAATATAACTAAATTCTAACAACAGCAAAACAGTCATAATAACAGAAATTAAAAACATTTATGGCGGGTTTGACCGAACCACGAGTAAAAACAAATTAAAACAGTCTTTAGAGCTGGTTTCACAGGCCCAGTTGCCTTTAGTTTTTATGCGAGAAGTGGGCTCTAACCGAGGTTGTGGGAATGGTAACCTCAGTAACCTGAAGGCAAAATGTTATTAGTAACACCTGTGTTTACCTAAGACTACATGTCAAAATATCTGCTGTGAAATAAGTCCACTGCAATTAAAAGACTCCTTGTAACCTGTAATATTAAACAACAAATACACTTTTTGTTCCTGTGTGAACATTCGGTCGCGTCAGCTGCTGGTAAACAATCAGCTCTTTCTGCCTATGCCAGGAATGCAGTCAGACTTGCAGCCCAGTCAAGCTGCAACTATCCACCTGCTCAGGGGCGACTATTAAAAGAGGAGAACGGATGTGAACAGAGGCTGTCGGCAGCTTGGTTTCCTTATTTCACATATGCTATTAAAATCATTTCTCATCGACGACGTTTCTTCGATGTTCTTAAAGAAAATAAAGAAAAACAAATCTGCGCATCCCAGCCGTTTAAATAGACACACTGGTGACTTAAGAGTGAAAATCAGCGATTTGGCTACCAAGCTAATCTAGCAATGCGGAAACAAGAGAAACAAATCTGTTTGTGTAACTCCGTTTGTTTGTTTTTTATTGCATTATCTCGTTTTTGAGGATATAGCAAATTCCTTTAAAATAAAAGGTCGACATGACTTTAAATTTTAGGAGTACCTATACACGGAAGTCACTTAACTTGGTAGCTTAGCTAGCATGCTAAGTAGTACGGGGTATTTCCTGGAATCTAAACTTTCCCAATATGATTGCCTCCATAGAAAACAGGTGTTCTTTTATAGGCAAAACTATGACTGTATATGTTACAGCTGTGCCACTGTAACACGTGACATCACCTTAAGATTACTATCCCTGTGATCATGTTGCCCAAACTGAACACTCTGATTAAATATACTTGCCGGTAAATAGACGGAACCAATACTAGCTAGCCAGCAACAGGATGATGACACTGGGAAAAAAAAACAACACAAACTAACGTCGCCGGTGAACGAACAGACACACCGTTGAGCTACACACGTCTCAGCAACCATCGCATGACAGTTTGTAAGCACAGTTTAAAACACTTACATGATCCGCGTTGCTGTTGGCGCTGTGATAACACACAGAACTAAAAGTATAACCTGAAATGGATGCCGCCATGATGGAAACATCCCTATCAATCCCGATGACCCCTGCGGTTGGAAGCACGCCGTTTAGACGCAAAGTCTTGTGGGAACTGTAGGACACGTCTTGACAGGCTAGACAAGCATGGAAGACGCCGGAGAGAGCACGCGTGGCTGTGAAAATATCTCGGATTCCGAGGAAGACCGATGCTCAGAAAATGACTTTGGGACGTCCAAACTCGGAACTAAAGAGTTGTGAGTGTTTGTAACGTAAAATTATGATGGTGGACGTCTTGTGTCAGGCTACACAGTTAGCTAGCGGATACCACTCTCAGAGTCACTTTACACATTTTGTCCACTGTGCTATAAGATAAACACAACTTATAGCCATCAAATCGAGCATGAAGAGGTTTCATTCTTAGTCACAAGCTTACAGGTAACCATTGATTGAGCGAATGGTATAAGTAGAAATGTGTAACACTTAAACCATTAAATTAGAATAGATTAAGTAAGCATTAAATACGAGCTTTTTAGCTTCATGCTGCTGACTTATTTATTTACTGAGCTACCTGAGTAATTTGTTTTGACCTAACAGCATGTCATGTGTATGCCATGGTATTAACAAATGATCTGGGGGGTTGGGGTTTGCAGCTGGGATGATGCATACCAAAAAGAGCTTGAGACGTTCAACGATATTGGAGATGTTGGTGAGATATGGTAATAATGCAGTGTATTGGCCACAGTGGTCAAAGCCATAATAATTTTTTGAGACAAACTGATGGCTTGCTTCACTTCACAATAACCTGTGGCTTCTTAAAAGGTTTGGTGAGGAAAGCATGAGCCGTGTGCTGCGATGGATGGACAAAGCGAACATCCCAGAAAATGCTGCCATTCTTGACATTGGCACTGGAAATGGAGCTTTTTTAGTTGAGCTGGTATGGATAAAGTAAAATTAATGACACTTTATGTTTGTTTTTTTTTATGTATACGATGCTACCTGGCCCTATGTGAAAGGGTAATTGCCACCTAAACCTAATAACTGATTGTGCCCCCTTTACCAGCAATAATAGCAATCAAGCATTAGCAATAACTGGCAATGAGTCTTTCATATTGCTATGAATATAGAGAATTTTATCCCAGTCTTCTTTTTGTTTCTTTTTTTTCTTTTTCTTTTTTTTTTAAAATTAACACAGTTGGAGGGTTTGAGCACGAATGGCCTTTTTAAGGTCATGCCAAATTATCTCAATCAGATTTAAGTCCAGACTTTGATTAGACCACTCCAAATCATCGAGTCATTGTCCTGTTGTATAACCCATGTGTGTTTGAGCTTTAGGACACAAACTGGTGGCTGGCTAGAGAATCTCCCTGAGGAGGTAGAAGAGCAGAATTCATTGTTCCATTCATTGTTCCTGAAGCAGCAAAGCAGCTCCAGACCATCACACTACCACCACCATGTTTGACTGTTGCTATGATGGTCCCTCTATGACTCGCTGTGTTAGTTAGACAGATGGAATGGGATACAAACCTTCCAAAAAGTTTACAATTTCTCTCATCAGTCCACAGAATATTCATCAAGATTTTTTTGGCTAACATGAGACAAGCTCTTGTGATCTTTTTTTCAGCAGTGATTTTTGTCTTGAAACTTTCCCATCTATCTGCTCTTGGAGTAATTTTGGTCAGCCAGCCACTTGTGGGAAGGTTCACCACTGTTCCAAGTTTTCTCTATTTGTGGTTATTGGCTCTTACTGCAGTTCACTGGAGTCTCAAAACCTTAAAAAATGGTTTGTGACCCCTTCTAGACCTAAACATGTCAGTGACTTTCACTGACTTTTTTCTTTTTAAAAAATCCCCTGAAGAACAGAGATTTTGGCATGATGCCTTGGGTTTTGAGACCTTTTAGCTTTCTTTACTTAGTCATACAGGTTCTGTTTGAGTAATTTCTTGATTCAGCATGTCTGACAGTAATCAGACTAGGTGCAGCTAGTGGGATTGAACTCTGCTTTCCAAGAAAATTGTGGTTAATCACAATGCATCCAACCCAGTTGTAGTTTGTGTTTTGTTTTTTTTTCTTACCAGAATGAAACTGAGACTTTTGCAAACTATTTTATCCACAGCTATTAAACCAAAAATCTACAGCTAATGTATATTTCCCATTTCCATGCCTTCCTCTGTTAACACTTGGCGCTTCTGGTACCACTCTAATACAAAATCCCTTATCTTTTTCTCATTGTTGCTTTTCCTCTGAAGTATTTTTACAAGCAACTAACTCAGTGTCCTGTTTTTACTAGCACACGCAGGGCCAGATCACATAAATTGTTTAGTTTATACCTTTACAGACATGTTAGTAAGGACAAAGGTTATTATTGTAACTGTTCATAATTTATTTTTTATTTGTTTGCTTTTCCCCCACCAGGCCAAACACGGATACAAGAATCTGACCGGCATAGATTATTCTCCTGCGTCTGTGGAATTGGCCAGAAGTGTGCTTCAGGCAGAAAACCTGACAGATGTCACTGTAAAGGTGTGTCCAGTCAAGATTTGGAGTTCATTTAAATTTGTAAGGAAGATGATACATTGTGTTCATGTTCACAGAAATGACCAGCAGTAACGCCAAACACACTTTATAACTGAAATTTTAAACGTGTGGATTTTGTGCATTAAGTTGCTGCCACTCAATGATGATCGTAGCATTTAAACCTTTTAATTGATTCTGCATAAATATTTGGAGGGCTAAGTGAATCTTTTTTTTTCTGCAGTGTACAAATCACGCTTTGATACAAAATGAATCCCTCCTAAGTTCCAATAATACAATATAGTTTTCAGCATACAGTGAGCCAACCTAGAGCCTGGGAAGGTTGGAGGAAACTTTCTTGTGTTTACTATGTGGGAGAGTTGGATAGGAAGAAGGCCTTGAATGTGGTGGAAGTCTGCCAACCTCATACCCCAAATAACTTGGCAGGCTTTAACACACATTTTCTATCATATACACGCAAGAAAAACAAGCTATGAATGCTGGCTGGTCTATAAGGGTTGTGATGAGTGATTTTTTTCCACTCCTTCATGCATAATACAGTTGCATATATGTTGTATGCATTTCACACCTATGATGCTGCGTGCTCTGCTAGTGCAGAAAGGCTGCCACTGAAGTCAATATTGACCTTAGCTGTGCAGGGGAGGGCTCAGTGGTTGTATGTGAGAGAGAAATATGTATGTTGGCATCTGGGTCATTTCTGCACAACTGCCAACGTAAGTTGTATGAACGTGCCTGTCGCTCAGAGGTCATTCTTAGAACTATGTCAGAACCCCTTTGCAGTTTCCATTAGTCACTGTCTACTGCTCCTTTGACACTTTCACCTTCACGCATTCCTACAACGTCTTCCCACTTTTTTCTATTTTACAGACTCACACTAAAGTCAGTTGTAGCAGCATATAGCTGTACCTGTCCTCAGGGAATCTCTGTTGATCCTCCTCCATAAATCTAATATGTGTTGTGAGTAGGTAGCTCTAGAGCTCACCCCAGAGATCTGGTGTTCAGCCATCTGTCCAGATAAAGGAGTCCTTTCACTAGTGGTATGGTGGGCCAGAACCCTCAGCAAAATTAAGTGCTGTCATGTCAACAGTTGGAATTTAGTTTTAAAGTAAATCATTGAAGTATAGCACACTTCATCTTGGGATCTGCTGAAAGATTTCTTCTGCAGGTAACTGTACACATTTCTGTAGTGTTGATCACTACATTTTTACCTTCTCGCTTTTTCTTTATTTTAGGAGATGGACTTCTTAAGTTGTCCAAAGGAGTTAAAAGGTTTTGACGTCTGTATCGACAAAGGAACATTTGATGCAATAAGCTTAAACCCAGTCAACACCAACGAGGGCAAAAGACAGTATGTCCAAGCCCTAAAAGATGTTCTGAAGGATAATGGATTCTTTGTCATCACTTCCTGTAATTGGACAAAAGAGCAGCTACTTGACAGATTCAGTGAAGGTGAGAAAAAATGAATTACTGTTTGGAGTGCACTGAGTTATCATGGCTGAGGATTGGTATTAAATGTCACATCAGTTTTGTGTTGGCGGAAATTTCATGATGAAGACCTGAACGCCTTAAAAATATGTACATGCTCACTGGCCATATTGTTGTTAAATGCTGATATCAATGCCAGTCAAATGGCAGCAACCCATGTTAACATGTTAACATGATCCAGATGACCTGCTTATATTTAACGGAGAAAAAGAATGGAGAAGAAAGGTGATTTTAGGCGACTATGAATGTGGTATGGTTGTTGATGCTAGATGGGCTGCTGTGAGTATTTCAGAAACTGCTGATCTGCTGGGATTTACCCACACAGGCATCTCTAGGATTTCATGAGAATAATCCAAAAAAAGAGAAAATAACCAGTGAGTGGATGTTCTCCCGGGAGAAAATTGGCTTGTTGGTGTCAAAGGAGAATGGCTAGACTGCTTCAAGCCAACAAGAAGGCAACAGTAGCTCAAATAACCACTTGCTACAGCTAAGGTATGAAGAAGAGCATCTGTGAGTGAATTACATTGAACATTGAAGCAAATGGGCTACATCAGGCCCATTAGACACTTTAAGTAAACCTGACCTTTGATCACGCATTTAATTATGCAGCCATGGATTATGTTAATTAATTCCTCTAGCAGTTTTGAGTCTACCTTGATATTACTTAAATGCTTCCTGATTTTTTTATGGTGTTGCAAAAGGCCAGTGCACTGGTCTTGGAAAATTGGGAAAATTATATATGCACCTTTTGGTATTTTGTGTTGAAAAAATATTAATTAAATATCTAAATGTATTTAAAACACTTTACTAAGGCTTTAGTGGAGCTTTTAACTTCAAGTAATGTCATGGGGTTCTTTTTTTTAATGAGCGAATCCTAACAACAACTTTAAGATAAGGGAGTGAATTATTTCTTTGACCTGCTGATGACCTAACCCAGATCAAGAATTTGCTGCAGTAAATCACACAAAAACCTGCTTGGCTGTTTTGTTTTGTTTTCTTGTTTTCTTTTTTAATGAGAAAGGGAATACATTAAATTTGTTTGTTTGGGGG